GGGGAGGGCGGTGCAGAGTATACTGAGTATCCTCTTAAATAGTTTGAAGTCAGGACTGAGCTAAGAAAATACGCACACAAATTAGCAATTCAAACGCTGATCAAATCAAAACAGTCTCCACTTGACTGAAGGTAGTGTCTAGATCTACTGCTTTTCCAAAACATTTTTTTTTTCAGTTCCATTGCGAATGTTGACTTTTTCGCCTCTCTCGCAAAGGCGAGGCGTTAATGAAATCCTGCCGGAGATTTCAATCAGATTTTTAATGTGATTAAATATTCAGTATTTTCAATTTTTGATGGAATAGACACCTTACAATTCTCAATGTTTTCATTCATTTACTTTATTCAAGAAAAAGACAACAACAAAAGCACATCATACAGGATATGATATTTGATATCTAATCGTTGAATAAGGAAATATCATTTACGTGTTACTGGCATACTATTTGTCAAACATGTCACGAATTTACTGTCCTCGAGGGCTAGAAAAGAAAAAAAAGATGGCAATTTTTGATGTTAAGATCAAGATATAGTACTCTTGACCCGGTATAAATAGTCTCAAGAGATGAACAAAGGATTTTAATTTTCAATAGGAAATATTGGCGACAAGTTGTCTCCTATTTTGTACTGTTAACAAGATGAAAGCAATTTGGAGAGTATTGCTGGTTTTTTATGAAAATATATCGATATTAGGTTTAAGAACATCATGATGCCTAAACAGCTATATTTGTCATAAGTTTGATCGACACGACAAGACAGTCAACAATACAAAATAACAGGAAGAGAAGGTGATTATTATAAATCCTGACATTTGACACCTTTAGTGATATATATATGGCCATTTTAGCACTCTCTAAAATGACCCGAAGCACTCCTGGAAATCTGTTTGCAATGATAGAAATCTTCATTATTAGTTAAACAGTAAAATGATTTTTTTCAGTCGTGTTAACTTGAAAACAAGTATTTTCTCTTGACATTGTATTTCCCATGACATTTATTCTTACTACCGGGTGATAAGTAGTTTCAGTATTTCCCGTTCTCTTTAACTATTCGTTCAGTTCGTTTTATCAATAAGGGAAATGCGTCTGTGCTATGAGTG